ACTCTGGGCCGACTCACCCAGACCCAGATCGAGCCGTGAGTCTGAATCTGTGTGAGTCCGGATCACTAATGTTTTTGTGAGTTGTGGTCTGAACAAGTGTACCCGAGGAATATTTTTGAGAGTGTAAGTCGGCGGATGTATGGATCAAAATAATTTTGGTGAGTATAAGTACGAGATAGCACCTAGCGCAAAATGTATTTCTTAAGTGAGTTTGAGTGCGCCCTGCACTTTTTACCGATATATAATTTTATTTACTCTACTTCAGCATTACTATCAATCCTACGTAGGATACCCGATACACTGACGCCGACTCACACAGACTTCAAAGCACCAGCGTTGACACGCCAACTCAATATTTTAACACGATAGCGTCAAAGAGCCCGTTTCGTGGAAATTCCGGTGTGGGTGTCAGCGTCCTTGGTTGTGAGCGAAATATCACCTTATGCGCGACCAAAAAATTGACAATGATGCAAAGAAAATAAATAAGTGATAAAATATTTGGGAGCAAACTGTGTACCGAACCAGGGTTGTTTGGTTCCAAGTGGATATCGAACCTGGGATGCTAGCGTGGCAAGCAGATGTTGTATCAAATGGCCAGGCATCTGGTTGTGAACACAGTGAACAGAACTTCCTCTGCTTAAAAATGCAGTGAAAGTAGCTATTGTGCATCACAAACACACGCGTCCTGTATCTATGCTTCAAAATGCAACATGAAATAGTGAAGTATTAATGCGTGGTCAAGTGTCCATTGTTAACTGGTGTCATAATGTGGGATTATCATAATGGCTCCGTGGTTGGAAGCCGGTACCCAAGTAAAACACGCACACACCACACCACACACACACACACACACACACACACACACACACACACACACACACACACACACACGCGCGCGCGCGCGCGCACGCACTCGCCCCGCCGTGGTGGTCTAGTGGCGAAGGTACTCGGCTGCTGACCCACAGGTCGCGGGTTCGAATCCCGGCTGCGGCGGCTGCATTTCCGATGGAGGCGGAAATGTTGTAGGCCCGTGTGCTCAGATTTGGGTGCACGTTAAAGAACCCCAGGTGGTCAAAATTTCCGGAGCCCTCCACTACGGCGTCTCTCATAATCAAATGGGGGTTTTGGGACGTTAAACCTCACATATCAATCAATCAACACACGCACACGCACACACGCACACGCACACACACACACACGTTCGCACACACACACAGGCACGAACGGACACGCACACGAACACAACCGAAGGTATACATGTACACACACGCAGGCACGCCCACACACACACAAACGGATACACGTACACACGCGAGCACATGCACTCGCACACATAAACGCACACGCACACACACTCATGCACATATGCCCACACACACACGCAGACACACATGGACACTCACAAAGCCCGCCTATATACTCACTATTACAGCAAGGGAAGGACGCCGTCCACTCACTATGGTTAAGTCAGGATGCGGGACGGGCTTGTGATTTTCCTATGAAAGGATAATTCTATTGACGGCTGTGCAATACAGAGAAAGATCTACTAAAAATGAAAATTAAGCCAGCTTTGCACTAATGGTGCTGAACGCGAACAATACGCGGCGTTTTTCAACGTCCTCCTTCTTTATTTTTCCTTGTTTTTTACTCTGTCTTTTTCTCTTTTTCGCTGCTGTTCTGTGTATTCATGTCTGTTTTCCTTTGAGTCTCTATTCTTGCTTTTCTTTTCTGTCTAGCGTTGTTTTTCCTATCTCGTTTATTTATCTTTTTTGCTCTTTCTTCCTTTGTTGTTTCTGTTTTTTTGTAATTGTCTTTTTCTGCCCCATTTTTTTCACTTTCTTGCTCTTTCGATCCTTGTTTCCCTTTCTCTCCTTTCTTTTTGTGTGTAGGCCTCACTTACCTAAATCTCTTCTGCGTGTCCGTTTCTCTTTACAAGAATATCGCCCCTTCTCTATTTTTTTTAGTTTTTCCTCTCTTTATTATGCTCTGGTTCTATATTTCATGTTTTATTTCTTTTACTCGCTCTCTTTCCTATTCTACTCCTTCTCTCAGCCGTCAGAGTTCTTGAGTCCCACGCTGGACTAATCGGCCCAAGTTTTTTTGAAAACGAAGCAGGAGATGAAGAAACATTCTGAAATAAAGAAAAATAACGATGAAGAGAAGTGCCTCGTAATTATGACTCTGTGATAAGAATAATTTATTTTCACATCTGGCATACTTTCTCCGAGTTAAAATGACAGCTTCGTTAAAACTGACAATTGCCATCATTATCATTTAGTGTGGCGCTTAGTGAAAAAATTTGGCAGTTCTCACGTACCTGCGTATGAACGTTATGCGAAGCATGCGGAGGGAAGGTGACCGTGTTGCAATTTTTTTAGTGAGCGACACGTCATGAAATGACGCTAAATATATGCACAGATATGTTGAAGAGCTGCAAATGTTTACGTAAGCAGTTTTTTGCACTCGCGCAACGATGCCAACTGGAACGTGCGTATTAGCAACACCAGAAGCTGGTATGAAGCACTGATGCTCGCGAGAATGCTGGCCCTAGACGCTGCTAGATAAATCAACTTCAGCGCATGGCAACTAACTACAATTGACGTTAACCCGACGTGACGGCTGTATCAGAAGTGTACATATGTAATGTTTATAAAATTAAGTACGCAGCACTGCTACCACTTTTGACGTCTCATGAAGATTAGCATCTATATAAAAAGTAGTTCCGACACCTGGCGTAGCTCTGTGGCAAAATGCTTCATTTTCACGCAGAATACTTGAGTTCGATTCCAGCGGGGACCCTGGCATTCATTCTTTGCGCTCGTTGGGTCGACGCTACCGTTTGTGTTTTCATCGTTCCTGGGTAGATACCTAGGGTCAATCTCATGTGGCACATACCCGCATAGCAGCGGCACATGCGTGGCTGTGGGTATGTGCCACTGTCTGGTGGGAAATGATTGAGGGCGTACGCAACGCGATTGTGACATTACGTCTTGACCAGCGTTTCATGTTCGTCAAACCATCTTACCCTCCCATGCTTATTATGGTCCACGCCAAGTTAAGGGGTTGACTCGAGAGCACCCAAACGTATGCAGATAGATAGATAGATAGATAGATAGATAGATAGATAGATAGATAGATAGATAGATAGATAGATAGATAGATAGATAGATAGATAGATAGATAGATAGATAGATAGATAGATAGATAGATAGATAGATAGATAGATAGATAGATAGATAGATAGATACGCTCAATGTCACCGAAGTTCGCTAAGAAAAGCTGCACATTAACAAAAAAATAGGTTAACCTTTACATTTGTTTTCTCAGTACTGCTCACACAAATAATCAGTAAGAGAAGATGATTCGCTGCGGGAGGCAATGTGCGTGCCACAGAAAATCAGAGCAGATGTGGTATCGGCATCGCAGCTGAATTGAACAGGCATGCCTGGCTGGCAGTCTGTTCAGCGAACGTCAATCAATTAACTGCATCACGGAAACGCAATTAACACATGCTTCACGACTGTTGCCAATCTTCACGGGTCCTTCGGGAACTTAAATACATAATATAGCGAAAGAAAACAAGGACAGAAAAAATACACACAGAGCGACTGCTAGTAAAAGAAAATGTTCCGTGGCGAAGAGAATGCGAGCCTTTTCATGGTAATTATTCTTATCAATTCCAGCTTTGAATTGTAATACTTTCAAGGACTTTAGACATCTCGAAGGCTCGCGTGTTAAATAATTCACTTTCGCAGGCTGCCAAGCAACGCCTTACCTAATATTTTTTTACGCTCGTAAAAGAAGAACGACCGTTCTCGTCATTCACTCCGCCACTCTCATTACAAAGAAGTGAGAACAATGTGTGTAGTTATGCGTACGGAATTTAATCTACTGCATTGGCATGGCTGCCTTGTCCTGTATAAATTTTTCGAAAATGATGGCCAATATGTCAGACTAGGTACACTAGGTTAACCATATAAAAATGTAGGTTTTGTTTATAACCTTAAGTATGGCAGAAGACATGGAAAAATAGTGAACATGTATAGTCTGGCGAAACTTAAAAATTCTCAAAGTGCACTCGTATGTTCTCGTGAAGCATGTACTCAGTTTAAACAGGCCCCTGAACGCTGGCTAGACACGGCATTAAAATTTCAAAGGACATCTGTCATTCTTGTGCGGTCGCTGCCTGAATGCAGGTGCACCCAGACGCTGCACACAAATCATTTGGTTCCCAAGTTGAGAAACACTAGGAGTCAGTGCACTCTTACGTTGGTCTGAGGCGGGCTCCATGGCGATAAAGGAAGACGCCATGAGAAGGAAGAACGTAGTTTTTGTGGTATGCTTGCCTGAAACAAGCCCCGCCGCGGGTGGTCTAGTGGCTAAGGTACTCGGCTGCTGACCCGCAGGTCGCGGGCTCGAATCCCAGCTTCGGCGGCTGCATATCCGATGGAGGCGGAAATGTTGTAGGTCCGTGTGCTCAGATTTGGGTGCACGTTAAAGAACCCCAGCTGGTCGAAATTTCCGGAGCCCTTCCACTACGGCGTCTCTCATAATCAAATGGTGGTTTTGGGACGTTAAACCCCACATATCTGGACGTTAAACCCCACAATCAATCAATCAATTACCGAAAGAAGGTGTACAAAAGAAAGGTCGCGTGGCGTGGTCACCAATCATTCATACAGGAACCTCGTGATCAAAGTGTGGGTTAAGCATGTCAACGCACATGCGCGGTAACAGATTATCGTCCGGAACAGGTGAGCCAGTACTTTGGCGCTGGCTGATAAGCGGTGAGCGGCGAGCAGACGCAACAGCGCCAGTAAAGCGCCTGCCCATTCTATGACGCACGTGCCGCGGCGCGACTCCGCTGGGGGAAGTCTTCCCGCGCACGGCGGGCCGCGCGGCGCGCGCCCGCGAGGTGGAGCGTCCCGCGATCGCCGTGCCCCCTTCCGGCGCACAAATGCGGGCCGGCGTGGGGCTGCCCAGAAGTGCGCCAAGTGTGGTCCGCCGCGCCGTCCGGCCTGGTCGTCGGGCTTCTGTGGCCGCAGCAGCAGTGCCGGAGTAGGGGGGAGGGGGGCCGTGCCGCTGCGAGCGGAATGCCGGCCGCGCTATGCAGGCGCTCACGGACATGGAGCTGGCGCGACTCGAGCAGGGCGGGCCCCGGCACGGCGGCAGCCTGCTGTCGCTGCACACCAGCCTGCCGTCGAGGACGTCACTGCTCGGCAAGCCACTGAAGGTGGGCGCCCACCCCAGGGACGCAAAGTACCGCAAGAAGCAGACCTTCATGTACAATTTCCTCGAGAGGCCACGTGGATACAGGGCAGCCGCGTACCACATCTTCCTGTGAGTACGCGGCACGTCGGCGCCTGTGGTCTGCCTCCTCGGCCAGTCACTTTCGGGGTTGCCTTCACTTTCGAGTGACGTGGTGTTGCCAGCGCGAGACATCTCGTTGAGACGAAGGACGTTGTGATCGTTGGATCGGCCGATAAACGCTTGCCGAAAGTGATACCTCGAAAGTGGTCGGTCGAGGTGTGCGGTCCTTGCGATCTGCATGCTCGCTGCGCGCGTCACAAGTGCACGGAGCTCTGGCTCCGCAACTGAATCGCACTTCTACCTACTCCACTGCAAAACGCGCGAGCGTAGCTTTGGCGAAGCAGTTATACCGCTACATAATAGTCTCACATGACCTACGCTGACGAGAGAACTTGACTTGTATTCTTTCCAGCTTATCGTGAATTACGGAGAAACAACGTGTTAGTATACGCGAAACAAACGCGACGTCAGTATGACGCCACTCGACTGCGAAAATTTCCGCTCACTTGTTGCCGCGCTCCAAGGACTCAGTGGGTCGCCCCGGAAACATCGACTTTTCTGCACTCCCAGTTACCGCGTCCTGAAGTGGCCCATCCTGAGCGTCGCCGCACACTTGTGTGCTCAGCACAGAAATACCTTCTTGTAGTCGCATCTTGTTGTACTGTACGCTTGATGCCCCAGTAGAGTTAGAGAAAGTGAAGAAAATCCGGTGTTCCCTTTGGTAGGGTGTTACGCGCAGCCGTGCCGCTGCCGGACGATCGACACGATCTCGGGACGCGAGCATTTACAGAAACATAACGGATTCAGCTCGTATGTGTGGGCAACTTTGACCAAAAAGTCAAGTCAAACGGCTACGAAAATACAGAGCGAGTGTTTTCCAGTTCAAGATTGCTGAGCAGTTTTCGACATCTTCCGGGAAGAACGTGCCCAGATGCGCGCGAAGCGGTGTGATTGTGTCAACGTGTCGTCGGAAACAAAAATAAAAAAACCTTGCCAATCGTGCGGGATTTGACTATTGTAATGGCACTATACTGCAAAGAGTTGAAATAAAGAAAGATGGCCACATTATTATCGCGTCATCATCTAGGAACCAGCGACGTGAGTGTTTGTGGCACTGTATATGGCTAGGCCTAATGCGATCGCGTTCAAGCCGCTTTGAGTACTCAAGGAAAAGATTTCCATTGCAGCTTGCCTGCTTGAGTGATCAGTTGGAAAATGAAAAAGAATGTCAACGCACAATAATGCAGGATCTATATCCCTCATCTTGCACTGCGGTGGGCCTCAGACACAACTGTGGGGACCTGCATGTCCGTGTAGTACGCGGCATCAACCAGCACGCTCTGTGTGGGCGCCTAACCCCCGTATTCCGAAACAATTGTCAACTCAAATTTCATCTTTCCCTTGAGAAAGTTCAGCACTTCACCGCTGTTCAAATGAAAATGACGGAGCCCTCTTAAAGAATCGCTGCAGGTTATTACTGATATGCAGTGACCTGTTGAGACAACGCTCCCGTCTACTTTAAGAAGTCAAAGTGAAAGGGCGTTCTTTAGAATACGGGGAATCACGCTTTGCTGTGTGTGTTGGTACGACTCGCTCGTGCTTTGAGGGCCGGCAACGAGGCATGAGGTGCGTCACGCGACAGGTGAGCCTTCGTGGAAGCATGCCGGTGCGATGAGAGAACGTCGCTTGTCATTCGATTCTCCGTGCGCGAGTGTCGTCACTGCAGCGGTACTGCGCTCGCGAAAACAGGAAAGAACCTCCGGGCGCACGTGGACGCGTCTTACGTATTCTCTAACACACCGGCAGTGTTCTCGCGTTTACCTGTGTCACGCTGTCTGTGAAGTTGGCTGCTGCATTGCACCTGCTTGTTGTATAAAAGAACAAGATTGGGGAGAAATAAACGTGAGCTTTCTCTGAAAATAATGACATGACGAGAGAATAACGAGAAACAAACAGAAGTGATTACGTAGTTTTGTTGATTACGTGCTTTATGACAGTCCTGTAGCGTCATTTCTGTAGGCCTGCTATGATTGTAAAAGAAGGTCGTTCTTGTTCACCAAAATCAATAAAAAGTATATTTGGATTTTTTTTTTTTGTAATATAATCTCGCCTAGGGTAAGGTCATTTTTTTTCCTTACCACTATTCGCATCAATGACTCGGTGCGGACGTTGATACATTTCACCTGCGGTCATAATAGTGCGCCCATACGATAAATAATATTGCATGAATATTCAGCTGACTGCTCTAAGAATTAGTCTATAAATAACCTTTATGAAGGTGGGTCTGAATTCTTGTCAATGATAGTTAAAAGACACGGGTATTCATGTCTGACAAAAGAGAAAAAAAATACTGCACATTGCGCTGCGGGGATTGTATTGCGCGCAAGATGAAGCTTGGCGCCAGAAAATACCAGGTCAGTGGAAGTTGTGACTACTCATATAATCGTCGTAGACGCATGTGTGTCGGTGGTTCGTGGAGAACTGCTGTCCTGGACTATTTATGACGTGAAGCTACGACGTACACGTAAGTACGGGAGAGAATCACATGAAGGCATTGCGTGCTGAATAGTTTATTAGTACATCCAGGCGTAATCGTGTCATTCTTTAATGACACAATAGCAAATAAATCATACGTAGTTTCACTTATGTATACGCTCCTTTACATTTACCTTACATGTATGAGTGTGTATGAATAATATTGCACACTCTTGTCCTTATGCGGTACTTTATGCTCTCCAGATACATATGTTGTAATTAGTTTTATTTTATTAGTATTGTAAAATCAGTAATTTTTATATGCTCAATAATTACTTTACCGTTTGACGTCATCTTCGTATATGCTCTTGTACACATGTTTGTTTTTTCGTTTCTTTTTCTGCCTATACCTACGATGATTCACCAAGGTCTGTAAACACATCACGTTATACACAGTTTTTCTTGTGTTATAACTTTAGTAAAATAATTGTGTTTAGATTATTTTTTCCACAGGTGGCATGCCTTTTTTATATGATTATGTTTTAATAATTTCCAAATGCTCTTCGGCTGCGAATACAAATGCAGTTTGACAAAATGTTGTTTTTGCAAGCTATTTTACATCAATACATTCGATTCAAATTAAAAATGACCTACTCACAGCTTGAAGGCGGTGGCCCTGACCAACATGAATGCGTACTCAAAAAGCGGAATCATTCTTTGAGCCATTGCAGGTATTTTACTTCTACGGACAGCACTGATGAAGGTGCATCGCAAGGTGCGAGACGACGACCGCTGTAGCAATAAACGGAGTTGTGAGTTTAAGTGAGTGTAACTCGTTTGAAGCGTATGTACAGCTGTACCGCAATTTTTGTTACCGGTGACGTAGGTGTAGCCGTAAAAAACGCAGGTAAAAAACGTGGTTACAATGTTCACCCTGTGTACTCGTTTGAACAGAAAAGAGGCTCCGTATACGTAAATGTATACGCAAATGACGCCGCACGCACCTCTACAAAGGTTACCAGCAAACTCTAAAGACACATCGATCGCATCGACGTTTTTTGATGACTGAAGTGCTCGCACAGGTACACTGATCTCAACAGAAGAAAAGCAAAACAAACTTTTATAAAAGAAGGTGGTACTTCAAGTATTGCTCAAGAGGAACAACAGGTTCTTTGAAATATACTGCGAGAACTGTGCTTGTAAAACGAATGAAATTATTTCACAGTCGTCACAGGAACAGTGCTGATTTTGTAACTCCATCGCACTGACGTCGGTTCTGCATTTCTGAGACATCCAACTCAGGAAGAGTTTGTGTCTAGCTTTACATTCTCTCTAGCATTGGTGGTGTTGGCCAGGGTTAACGAGCTATTAAAGAGTGTCTTGCGTACAAAGAAGGTTCGAGGAATAGCGGCTGCATTGCATATTCGTGAGCTTTTACGTAATTATAATTATGATTTTAAATAAATGTTAGAGTGGACACATGGTACGTCGATAAGTAATCCTCATAAAGTGCACTGAAGTTACACACAAGTTGAATGAAGAGGAATGATCAGAGGACAAATTTTTGGCGTATTCTTCTGTTAATATTTGTCATCTTTTCGTAGCGTAAATTTTGTCAAGAGAACATTTCACACGTTTATTCTTGTAGTAATCACTGCAGTGTTTTTTCTGTATCCAACGTACAAAACTGTAATGTAACATTAGAGTCGGAACTATAAAAGTCAAGTTACAGAACATACTTTGCTCCAGAGCAATCGATCATCACCAGTAATTAAATTAAGTTGAGCTGCGAACTACGTCGGTTCACAATGGTTGCTTAATGCTTTTGACAACATGTGGTCATTATCATAGCAGATTAACCTTGCCGATGTCTCAGGAATATACACACAAGCACCACACAAACACGAATTAGTATACACGCAGGTGCAGGTATATAAAGAAATAAAATGAGGACAAATGGGACAAGCCTTCATCGCTGGTTGCATGCGCCTATCATGACCAGCGCTGACGCCAACAAGACGGTTATCATTAGGTTAGTGAGAGCAGGCATATGCCCAAACATCTGTAGATGCTGTCACTATTTCATACGTAATGCAAATAATATTTACCATAGATACTGTGCGGTTTTTATATTTGTACCAACTTCCTAAAATGATCTTTAAAAATCTGGCACAACAGGCCTGCATCTAATAGCGTTCATGCATCTCTCGAGTGTGATGTGATTTTGACCGGATGAATTTCAGAGTACCATCTTTTTCCAAGCAGGTAAGAAAAGATTAGTTTATAAATATCTGTGGAACAGAGCTTTTGAGCGTGTATACATTATTAGTGGAAGGTAAAACGCTGCACAAAAAATAAACAAACAATAAACAGGAGGACTCGGAGAAACAGAACAGACGAGCGCAAACTATACGAACGGAAGTTTACTTCAGGAAAGAGAAATACTTACACGTAAAAACAAACAAAAACTTCATCATATGCTCACTCTCTATGGCGACATGAAAGTAATTTCTTGCATATAATATTAGCATGCTTGTTATGATTCCCGTCTAAAC